GACTCGAAACCGACCTGTTGGATCCAAATGCTAGACCCATACCTGACTTGACCCGTGTCGGGTATAACCAACGGTTCCCAGGTCGGGTCTAGGTCCATTGCCACCCCTACTAGCAACATCGAAATTTGGGCATATTTTGAAAAGTTCTCACAAGTAATTTGGCATCAGGGGATGTTTTCTTTCATAAATTTGAATCAAATCCCAACTACAATTTGGGCATATTTGAAAAATTCTCATCACCACTCTACCGCTAGCTACAGGTTGCCACCTACAATTTGGGCATATTTGAAAAATTCTCATCACCACTCTACCACTAGCTACATGTTGCCACCGCTACTGTCATACCACCACTCTATCATCGCATATCTACCACCACCACCTCCTGCATGCTCCAAAACAACCACCACCACCATTGCATCGCCACCATTTGAATGGATGGTTACTATTTCAGGTGGTAAAGTTACAAAATAGTTTGAGTGTCTGATTAATTGGATGGCTTAGATTATTTTATTCTTATTTTTATTTTATGAATTATTTTACAATTAGCTTCGGGGCATGCACACCTCTGACATGGGCACGTTTGATAAAACATATTAAACTAATGTTATAAATTAGTTTACGAGTGTCTGATTAATTGGATGGCTTAGATTATTTTATTTTTATTATTATTTTATGAATTATTGTGCACCTCTGACATGGGCACATTTGATAAAATATTAAACTTATTTTTTATAAAAATATCCAAATTAACCTTGAAACTTGTAGAAGTATTTTGGTCCTTTTAAATTAAAATATATTTTTCTAAGGGCACACCAGTAAGATGAGCGCATGGCCCAAATTCGAGCCCCAAATTTCAAGCATATTTGATATATAGGAAAAAAATAAAAAATAAAACAATATCTAAATATGATATTGTAACTGAAGCTTTCCCAACCATCTATTTGGATCAGATGGATGGCAGTGGAGGCCACATATGTTTTATATATAGCTGATACCACATGTAAAGATTGTCCCTATGGATATGCATATGGGTGATGTGTAAGATATACACGTCAAAAGATCCTACATTCTCATGAAAGCACCTTCTCCAATCAAACCCTAACATAAAATCCAATAACGGAATATGTTTGGGCCTCAAAATTTGGGAATGTGACCTCTTACATTTGGCAATCAACCTAAAAAAGAGAAATCTTCAAAGGTACTTTGCGTAATTGTATGTGCCAAAAAAAAGAGTAATTTCATGCAAGGATTTACAGCTATATAATGAAACAATTTTCAAAAATATGCTTTCACGCTAATGTTCAAACATACAACTTTTTCATCAATCACAAAGAAACAAAAGTTGAAAACACACCTTAAAAAGTGCTCTTTAACTCAAGCAACACATGTATTCCTTTTAGTGAAATGATTAGATCAGATCTTAGATTTGTTTTTTAAAAAAAGTGGTAGATAACTTTATTATTATTAGATGAACCATGTTAAAAAATAAAAAACTGATTTTGAATTTGTAAATATGTAAATCTTAAATTTTACTAAATGGACGGTCTAGATTCATTGTTGGAGGGGAACTTATTTTTATCATATATGGGAAAATTTTAGTTTTTTAAGGTTGATTAGTGGGGATCGAGAGAGTTCATGTACTAATTTGGCATCATACAATGGAATAATCATGGTTTTATAGAAGTGTTATTTCATTCTATTCAATTGCATGGTGACATGAAATTGATAGTATATAAAGCCAAGTCCAAGTGAGAACACTTAGTTTTTTTTCGATTACAATACAAAATGCTCCAAATTACATGAATCTCACAACAACGTATGACAAGTATACACAATTTCTAGCCACTAAAAATGTCTTCAAATACACTTCAAGGGAAGATTACAACTCTATTAGGTCCCTTGTAAAAAAACAAACCCAAAATACAACAAGGAGATTGAATGAATACATGACAACACGTAAGTGCTACAAAATACACCAAGGAGATTGAATGAATACATGACAATACTTAAGTACTACAAAATACAACAATATACAAATTACGTTGCCAAATTATACATCACTTCATAATTACATCAAAGACCTCAATGCAATATCCGTCTTCACCAAACAAATGCTCACATCAGATTTGAGCATTGGAAGCTAAATAAGTGATCTCTTTTGTGCCCAGGAACCAAGGACTTGCCGCATACCATAGAATGACTACATAAATGGCACCAAGATTATAAAAGAAGAGCATATTTTACAGTTTCAAACAACAAAAGATAATTCATTTTAAAATAATCAAGTTGTACTAAAGATGGGCATAAAACATGATGATGGATAGTTCTTCTTGCATATTCTCTCTTACAAAACAAAATAAAAGATCCTACATCAAGGATTTGGCATTGAGTTCGTGAGGCATTGGCCTATGAAAAGGAGGCAAGCCAAGGGCGGCATGAGCTTCATTAGGTCGATGGTTGCCCCATTTAATGGGGCTGGTGTGAGACCACTTTTTATGAAAAAACGGGTGAATAATAAAGCATAAAATTTTTTAAAAATAAAAAAGTGGGAGCTTGGCGGCACTCTGGTTGAAAGCCAATATAAAATAAAGAATGAGATGAAAATTAAAAAAATAAAGAAAGAAATGAGAAAAAAAAGGGGCCCGATTTGCGACAAATTTGGCTGGTTCTATTCTACTAAGAATTGGTCATATCCTGATCATTATTATTTTAAGGGAAAAGTGCATCTGTACCGGTCTTTAAATCGTTGTAATAAAAGGAAAATGGTTTGATAGGGCTAAAACTCTATCAAATTAAATAAACACTCACCTCAAAAAAAATTGCAATTCAAGCATTGGAAAATCTTTATATTGATCATCTCGGCCTAAATATTATGGTTGTGAAAAAAAAAGTAGAATTTCAAGCTTTAAAAGTAGTGTATATTATAATAAATTATCTAGACCGTCCATCTCACCCTTAAAATAAGTCTTCATCCACAATATTTGTACCGGTTTTTACTTTCAAATTTTATTGTCGGTGTTGAAAATTGATTTTAAGGACATCATAAAGATTTATGTTGCCAAAAGTGTTTTTTAGAGGCTTTATTTTGTCTCATAAAGCCTAAGCCTTATAGAAACACCAACAAATAAGGGAATTGTCTACAAAAGCGACCATTTATTTTTGTACACGGAGGTCACAAATCATTTTTATCCCTTAAATTTTAAAATGGGTGGTTGTAAGAGTGTCATTGAATAGACACAAAGTTCTACTTTTTTTTTTTTTTAATTTCGAAATTAAGACTCACCCCAAGTCATCCAATTTGACATCTAATGAGTGAGAATGATTGTGATCTCCGTATACAAAAGATAAAAGAAAAATAATTCATGTAAGCAGGACCACATTTCTACAATATGCGGTCCCAAGGAATAAAGCATCCATCTTAAAGATGAATGCAAATAGGTGGTCCATCTAAAAACTATTGACGCTAATGGTCTAAATGTTTTCTTAATAGAATTATTATTTATAATTTTCATAATTTATTTATTTTTCATATTCATGATCTCCATATTAGAGATTCCACGTCTTTAAAAATTAAATCCAGTAAAAAACTCCATCTTAAAAATATATTTTTAAGAGGTGATTCATTTCTACATGGACTCATAGAACAGGTGTCCAAAGGTAAACAATCTCTTTGTAGACAATCCCTAAAATGAAAAAGGTGCGGTTTGTATAGGGCCAAGGCTCTAAACAATCAAATTAGAGCCACCTACAAATATAACGAGAAATATGGTTTCAATACTAGAAATTTTTGTGATAGACTTAAATTATATTTTCATCTTTAGGTATAAAATTTAAAGTTTAAAAAATAGTGTACATCGTGCAGATCTATGAAAGCATGAAAATATTGAAAATTGACGGTCCAAAATACATTACAAGATGTACTACTTTCAAAACTTGAAATCTATATTTTTCTCATGTTCATGCATCTTGATGTCTAGATGATCAATTTGATTATATTTGGGCATCAAAACAACCTATTCTAGTGAAAGTTTTAAGACTGGCTCAATTTTGATTGTTTAGAGCCTTGGATCTATATAGGGAAAAGTTTATATAGAGCGGACGCTCTAAATAATCAAATTTGAGCCTGCTTTGAAAATTTCACTAGAAGATTGATGCCCAAATATCTCCAAATTGATCATCTCGACATCATGGACATGAGTAAAAAATGGATTTCAAGTTTTGGAAATAGTGTATTTTACAATGTATTTTGAACCGTCAATTTTCAAGATTTTCAAGTTTTCTTAAATCAGTCGATCTACAACATTTTTGACGCTTTAAACTTTATAAATAAATATGAAAATATATTTTTAGACTAACACAAAGATTTCCAATATTGAAACTATATTTCTCGACATTATTTGAAGGTAGGCCGTAATTTGATTGTTTAGATCCTAAGCTCTATACAAACCCTACCCTTGTGTGGAAACTTTTTCGAAATAAAAAAAAGGGAAAAGTTTATATGGAGCCTAGGCTCTAAACAATCGAATTAGAGCCTACCTCAAAAATTTCACTAGAAGAGGTTATTTTGATGCCCAAATATCCTCAAATTGATCATCTTGACATCAAGATACATGGAATTGAGAAAAAAATGGATTTCAAGTTTTGAAAATAGTGCATCTTTTAACGTATTTTTTGACCATCAATTTTTAAGTTATTCAAGTTTTCATAGATTTACTCGATCTACACTATTTTTAAAGCTTTAAATTTTATAATTAAAGATGAAAATCTATTTTAAGGCTAGTCAAAGATTTATAGTATTGAAACCACATTTCTCGACACTATTTAAAGATAGGCTCTAATTTGAATGATTAGAGCCTCAGTTCCATACCAACCGCACCCATAAAAAAATATACCTTTTTTTTTTTATTTTTTCCAAATTTTGCCCCAGCACAGTTTTACTTGTGAGCTATTGGACTGCACCAACTGCCCACCTTATGGCGGAGTAGCGGTCCTTCAAATGCCGTTGGATGTTACAGTGCGGCTATACCGGATAGCGCGAAGCATTATCCGGAAGGCAACGGTAAAGGCAAACCACAAACAAGCATGAGAAATTCAAATGTGGGACTCCAGTGCTCCACCCCAACCCTTGTTCGATGGCGGCCACAGGAACCCTTCCCCTCCCATTTTCTCTCTCTATCTCACGCCCAAAGAGGAGTCGACCCTCATTCTCACGAACTAGCAGTAGGAGGAATTATCAGAGGCCTCTGGTCTTTGCTGTATCAGAAGAGAAAGCATCAGAAGAAGGAGGACAGAAGGCTTCTTTTAGGCCGTTTGGTTTCGTCACTGATAATCCTTCAAGTAGAAGTGCTATTCAGTTGCCAGAAGTACCAGCAGAGGACGGAAATGTTGGCCAAATGCTATATGTAAGAATAGTTTTTAGCTTTTTATTTCATTATTCTAATTGCTGCAATTCCTTGGTTCTTTTGCTTCTGCAATGGGGTTATCTTTCATGGGTTGAGGGAGAAGGCCTCAATTTGTCTGCTTATTCAGTTTACTGAAATTGGTTTTTGTTTATTTGGTGGATGGGTTGAAGAAATATCAGGATTCTTGACGAAATTCACATTTAAATGCCATTTTAGTGGTTTTTCCTTGTATATTCATGTTCTTTCTATTTTTTTCGGTTGCCTCACTGCCTGTCGTTAGTGTAGGGATAAGGCCTTAGACTTTCAATTCAATTTATTCAAGTCGGCTTCCCTCTATTTGTGTGCCGTACTTGAAGAAATTGCAGAATCAATCAAGAAGTTCTCACTTGAAAGCTTTAGCTATTTTCACTTGTTCTTCTTCTTGTTTTTATTAGTGGGTTTTCTTTTAACCATTCCCTTCTTTTGTATTGCACTCCCGTTAATGGGTTGATATTGGAAGGCCCAATAAGCCTCCTTTGTCAGTTTATGGATGTTGGTTTCTGTATGTTGTGTGACTGTGTTGTAGATATCAGGGTTAATCATTTCAAGATCAAGTTGAGCAGTTCTAGGACATCCAATACTTCCCATATCTTTTCTAAGCTTATGCCCTCCAAGTGAATGAAATGACTTTATTCCCTTTCTTACTGTTGAAGGACTGAAATTTCTGCTCGTTGCTGATGCGGGTTCTAAATTATAGGAGGAAAAGTTGAATTATGAAGCGAAAAGACAAATCTGCACCCAAATTATGGATGACAACAATTTTTTTCCTGAAAACATTACTCAAGGGATTCGTGACATTAAGCACCATATTCTACAAAGTCCTGAAAACTTGTTTGCATCTCTTGTTAGAGTGCCCAGTTAACAGTGTGGCAGTTAGCCAAGTGAAAAGCATGCATATAAAGTTGCTGACTTTGAAGGCGGTCAACATGGTTGGTCTTGAATTGATTCCCTGAGTTTAGCAGCATGCAAAAGTAAACATATCAAAAGCTACTCTTCTGTCTTCTTGGGCCAGTAAGCATGGTTTGTATGAGAGAAGGAGAGGTAGATTTATGAACCTCTGATCTACCACTTCGAAACCTGACGCCACAATAAGGATTTTTCTTAGACTAAAACATTTGATAATAGTCTCTTTCATGCATAAGGTTCGTAGTTTGTTCGCAGGATTCTGAAGGTCAATGCTGACACTACCAAATCCATCCTTTCGAAAAGACAGACCTCCTCTTATCTATGCGGTCCACTAGCACCAAGGAACTCATTTTAATTATATAAATACCTAAGTTTCCCTAATGGAGATGTCACTTGCTTCATTGTGCATAACATCCTCGCTACTGGCATCCTAGCGGTTATGTTTAATCGCCCCATTGAGGTTCAACTTGATTAATCCTATGAGGGGTGCTTCCAAGCACTATCATAATATTTCATGGTTTTGAGAATTTCGATCTGGATACACCTTCTTTGTGTGTTTTTTACACGACCCCTTGAAACTCCTTGTGTTTTTTAAACAACCCCTTTTAAGTTGCTGGCAGAAAAGAAAAGCCTTCATTAGGCTTGATCAATAGAGGCCAATAGTTGAAAATGAGTAAATAGGAAGCCAATTGCTTCGAGAAACTCTTTCCTGCGGATTCATGGTGCCAGGCATGGGATTTAGTCATATAATCTCCGTTAATCAGCTTGAAATACTATCTCCTTTATGCAATTATTATTTTGAGATGTGAGTGATATAGTTGTTGAAAGCTGCTGGTTAGAAAAGTGAAAAGCCACATAAATTATAATAATGTGATACTTAATGGGTATTTTATATTACATGCCTGTCTGGCTCACTGGTTACTGGCCATGTCAATATTCATTTGAACTTCATTCTTATCATTTTTATTCTTCATTATTGACGGCATGACTTAGTCGTAAGTTTGTAGAAAGTCATCATCACCATCATCATCCAAGTTTGTAGAAAGTCGTGCTTTTCAAAGCAACTTTGGCTAATGCTCCTGTTTACCTCATGTCTCTCTTCTATATGCCAATCTCAGTGGCCAACCCCCTAGAACAACTCGTGAGGAATTTTCTCTGGTCGGTACAGGCAGATAGAACAAAATACCATTTAATCTCTTGGGATAAAGTCTGCTTACCTAAACATCAGGGAGGACTAGGGATCAAGACCCTAAGAAAACATAACCTGGCCTTGTCGGGGAAATGGTGGTGGCGTCTAGCCACCTAGACTGATTCCCTCTTGGCTTAGGTCCTACGCAACAAATATAGGATCTCTGAAGGAACTTGGGTGCCTGAGAGGAGACCTCTGAGCAGGGCTTCAGGAGCATGGAAGGCGTTCACCTCCTCCCTCTCATTGTTCAAAAATTTTATCAGGTTTCATCCAAGAGAAGGAACAAGAGTGCGCTTCTGGTTAGATCTTTGGCTATGATACATGCCTCTAAGGGGCCTTTTTCTATCCCTTTACTCCATCGCCACAAACAAAGACTCCACCATTGCTAAGGAAATGGTGCTGGCGGGAGGTCGAAGAGTGTGGAACCCCTCGTTCAGAAGATACCTTTCTGAAGAGGAAAGCAACCACTTCCTCTCACTTTCGGCAGCTTTGCATTGTATTGTCATCTCAACACAAGGGAGGGACTTGATGGTCTCCTGCCCCCCCTCTAGTACCTTTTCGGTGGCTTTTTACAAAAAACTTATCCAACCCCCCACCTTCCCTCTTAACCCATCCTTTGTTCTGTCCAAGGTCTGGTCCACAATAGCCCCCTATAAAGTGCAGACTTTCAATTGGATAGCGTGCTCCCAAAGGGAACTCACTGTAGACCAGCTTCAAAAGAAAGGGGTTCCTATCCCCAATAGATGTGTCATGTGTTTGACTGAGGAGGAATCAAATCCTTACCTCTTCATTCAATGTAACCAAGCTCACAACCTTTGGGGTCAATATTGCAGCTGTTTGGCTTCCAATGGGTTACACCCCCAACGGTCAAGGACCTTATATCCTCAGACCACGCATCACATTGGCCGAAAGCTGGACGAACCTTATGGAAGGCTGCCGTGGCAGCCACCATATGGGTGATCTAGGTAGAAAGAAACGCCAGGATTTTCCAAGGCCATTATACCCAAGGCTCAGTACTTTTTCGCAAGGTTACGACCTTAGTAACATTTTGGGCCTCCAACCACAAGATCGTTTCAGGTATCTCTGCGAACACTTTCCTCTGTCGATGGAAAAATATCCTATACCACCAGCCACGAAAGGTGCAAAGAACAAACACCTGGCTGCCTCCTTTAGAAGGTACCATCAAGCTTAACTTTGATGGGTGTTCTTTGGAAAACCCCGGCCCTGCGGGTGCTGGTGGTGTCTTCAAAGACCAACTTGCAATATTCTGTTCACCTACTCGGAGCACCTGGGCCATGAAGACTCTCAGTATGCCGAAGCTATGGCCTTGCTATTGGGCCTTAAAAGCCTCAATCAGTCTTGGGGACGACACCTTCTAGTGGAGGGAGACGCATGTAACATTATGGGCAACCAGGAGGTCAACACCTCCATGGTATCTTTGATGAGATTGCTTACATTTGCAGGACGTCAAACGAGTTCATCGATCTCCTGGCGAAGGACTGGGCTAGGGCCCAAGTACAAGACCAAACCCGGTCCATCTCCTTTTTTGCTCTGGACCACAGAGGGTACACATAGTAGACAATCTCTTTGTAATCGTGCATACCTATAAGCTCAATATTTTGTAACCTCACTCTAAATCTATTGTAATCGGGCAGATCTATAAGCCCATGTTTTGTATAGGGTTTGATGACCTATTTTTTACCGAGACCGGTCTAGTGACTCTTGGATAAACTCACAACTGTAATCCAACTATATTTAGCAATACAAAAGTTAACTTTTCTCCAAAAAAAAAATCGAGAAACTAAGAAGAATCTACTTATTGCTCTGTTAAACATTATCCAATCATATGCAAATTCATGCTCCAGTACAATAACTGACAAACTATAATAGTTGAATATGAATTAAAGATAATGCAATACTAATAATCAATTTCTAGAAGGCTACTTAGTGATATAAGAATTCTACTAAATTCTAGAAGATTACAATACATTGAGCATTTAAACTCGAAAATACAAAAGCACTGAAATGCATGAACCTTAAAACTGCAGCTAACAATGTCTAAGAATTATTACTCAATGCCTCTTGAGCACTGAATATAAGGTTGTGCTTCATTTTCACAAACTGTTTGTTCCTATTTTCGATACCTACATCAAAAAATGGGGCTAGAAGTCTTTAAGGATATAAAATCCCCACTAATGGGGAACATATTTTCAAGAATTCTATATACTTGCAGGTTTTCTTAGGCACATACTTGAAAAATGATGCTAAGGTGCCTAAGCGCATCCCAAGCTCTTTACTATGATGTTCAATTGACTCCTGGGAAGTCCATGGAAGTCCTTGAGACATCCGTTACGACTGGGCAATTGAAGAAGAAATGGTTGAGATTTTTTTCTTGTCAATTTCTTAATTGTGGGAACAAAGAAATTGCAAAGGACATAGCTGTGGTTCTGATGGGGATTCTTCTATGTAGTGTCCTTTGAAGACCTGCTGAGAAGAAACAAAAAGTGGACAAGATACATGTGATGGTGAGATCCAATTAGACATTCACATAATTGAGACTCTTTAGAAATCTTCCTTTTTTAGTTAAAAGGAAAGACCAATGAGACTCTCTGGAAATCTTCCATTTTTAGTTCAAAAGGAAACACCCATTATGTTCCCATTCCATTCTATCCTATATTGGTTGAGGAAGGAACGTGCTGAACAAGTGATTTGCAGCACTATCAAGCTGCAAAGGTTTTGTAACTATAAGTTACAACAATTTCTCTACCCATAAATTGTTGCCAAAATTGATTTTCTCCAAAGTAAGTTGATACAAGCATAGGCTGTTATTTTTAATTCATAGAAATCAAGAGTATTTCCTTTGGTT